CTTTCAATGTCTTGATTTAGGTCTTCAGAAGAATCAGAAGGGGTTTCAATGTTTTCACCAGTAATTACCTCTTCATTTTGTGACTGTATTTCTGTTGAGGTCTCAACCAATTCTATGTCTTCATTAATGTCTTCATTGAGAGTTGCTTGTGATTCATCTACCGGTGCTTCTGTAGAATCATTCTCTTCAACGGAAACCTCTTCTTGTGGTAGATCTGCTGATATATCTGTGGACGACTCTGTCTGATCAGAATCTGCAGCCACTTCTATATCTGATTCAGGAGTATGTGAGGACTCATTATTTTCTATATCTTCCGGATGTTGAGGCAGTTCTTGAGAAGAGTCGTCTGTATTTGTTGAATCATTTTCATCAATAACTTGTGATTCGGACGGAAGTTCAGGATTTTCTTCAAGTGATTCTGATGTCTGTATGGATTCATCTCCGACGACATCGGATGTCTGTTGTTCTTCTGGACCTTCATTGGATATAATCGCTGATTCATTATTGGGAACGAACTCCACGTCTGCTTCTTGTGATTCAATTGATGGAGAGTTTTCGATCACTTCATTATCTCCTATTACTTCCACTTCTGGCAAATATTCATTAGATGTTTCTGTCACTGTCTCAATCAAATCATTGTCAACGCCTGACTCCTCATTCGGCTCTTGTGGTTGTTCTTCATATGATTGAGAGGAGGTCTCGATATCGTCTGAATTTGTGATCAACTCGTCATCCATTGGTTGAGATTGTTCTTCAGGTATTTCGGATAATTCAACGGAATTACTGTTATTATTATCGTTGCTCTCAATATCTTCAATTATCTCTTCAGATGAATCAGAAGGGTTTGCAATACTTTCAATGGTAATACCCTCACCCTCTTGAAGCTCATTATTTGATGTTTCAGTTGATATCTCAACCATTTCTATTTCATTATCAATAGTTTCGGTTACAGATGTTTGCGATTCTTCTGGTGTTTCTGAAGGGTTTACCCGTTGCTGGTCGACCCCCTCCACACACTATACCCACACCTCCTATCGATTGTTAGTCTCCGGAATGGATATTATTATTGAATTTGTTTTGTTTTTGTCCCAAAATATTATAGACTTTTAAATCTTTAAATTCAATTAAAAATCTCTTTTTGTTTTATTTATAAAATAATTTACAGAAAACACTATTAAATCTACTATTGATTTGTTTTAACCATTTCTATAGTCGACTCTCAAATAAAACAAAAGCCTTTCGAAACGCTATTCAATATAATGTGTATTCAATTGATTATAACATGTATTGTAATGACTATTAAGTTAAGCGCTAATATGATTGGGTGGACAGACAGACAGACAGTCACTTGGGTTGTGGCCATCGTTGCAATAAGACATTCATCTGATCCTTAGACAGCTTTTGCTGTCCAGGCGTCGGTATCACGTCATCGTTATTCAGTTCCTTAGTTTTGCGGTCATCCTGTCATACAATGACACAAAATAGTGGTTAATATGTGTTATCATTGCATCTCATTATCACCGAAATGGCAGAGAGAGAGAGAGAGAGAGGGAGAGGGAGAGGGAGAGAGAGAGGGAGAGAGAGAGGGAGAGACTACTACTGACCACATATTTATCATAACAGCTCTGAAATGCGGTGATCTGTGGCCCACATTTGCTTTGATCGAAATCATTGGTCTTAAAACACGACAACATTTCCATCATCTGAGGAATGCATACGACATCTGCTCACAAGACATACAATAAGACANTAAAACACGACAACATTTCCATCATCTGAGGAATGCATACGACATCTGCTCACAAGACATACAATAAGACAATCAAATCAATGGCCGCTTTAATATCAACTCAAAACCATTGCAAGTGATCTGGACTCGACTCAAGTGATAGTCAACACCAGCAATAGTCTCGTGGTATCCGTGGATGACATACCGGAAGCGATTTTGGTGCCCGAAGTCACTTCATTCCTCAACACCATTGGTTTGTCGGCTTTAAATCTGGTGACAGGACGGGCAGGTCTGCGGCCATTCTTCAGCCATTTGTTCCAATAGTTTACTTTCGTTAACTGCATCGCCAATCACCGCCACACACAAGACAACTATCACCACAAACTGGTCCCAAACCTCGACACCAATCGGCGATTGTATTGAAAGTGTGTTTCAATACAGCGTTTGTCTGCAAACAGTACTGCAGTCTAACGATTAGTATCGCAAACGCGGTGTCAATACAAACGCAACGAAAAAGTTTTTGTTTTCGTTTTGTGTGTCAATCGGTGTTTAAAACGACAATTCATTTGTGCTTTCATTGAGTTTATTGTGTTTATTGTGTTTCTGTCGCCGAAAAGCCATTTGTTTAACGCATTAATCGTTGCTTTCATTTGCAATACAATCGCCGAAACCATTCATCAGTTTTTGACAATCAATGCAAACATTTGTCGACAAAAATCGCATGTTTTCACTGAAAATAGTGTTAAATAAATAAATAAATGATATTTAAATCGGTTTTAAAACTGTTGACAAAAAACATATAAATATCAGCGAAAAAGGCATTAGTATTACAAGACATGAGCGCAATATCTTCACCAGAGTTACCATCGATGCCGTTATCGAAGTAGCGATCAAATGAATGGTTTCGAGGGATTAGCAGATAATGAGATTCAAGGCGTTGCTAATCCTCCCAATCATTAGTATTATCGGTCTTTCACTGAGTGTCCAGTTCTTGAGCGCTATATTCCTGCAGCTATTCCTCCGCACTATCGGCAGACATAAGACACCGCACAAGACATCACCGCAAGAGCGGCAACCAGAGGGTGACGAGAGCTCCGACACCACAGAGGGGGACGGGATGTGGAAATGCCGTAAATGCCAGAAAGCCGTCTTTTTCGGTATGTCTCGGACGCCACACTCGTGTCGATACAGACGTGTCTTTAACCGCTTTTTCTTTCATATGTATCTCATGTGACACACCATTGGATGTATTGATTGGTTGTTCAGCTGAGAGGAAGTGCTCGTTAGGCTATGACTGGCATCCGGAGTGTCTGACGTGTCACGAGTGCGGCAAACGTCTGAATCCCGGACAACACGCAGAGGTCAGTCACCCCAACACATCCCATACCGCCATACCATGAGCTTATCTCTTGTCTAATCTATATCTTCAGCACAAAAGCATTCCCTACTGTTATATCCCATGTTATGGCGCACTCTTTGGACCACAACTTTACGGTTAGATTTGATTGTCTTGTGTTACGATGACATCTAGTGATGACACCACTGATGGTCACCCAAACAGGTCATGGGTCTCGAGTTGAATCTCATTCCAGTTTTGGCCAAAAATCGCGACTAAATTCGGACCAAATGTCGGATAAGATATTAGAGACAAAACTCAAAGAATACAACCAATACTACGAGGGAAAGGGGAATACCATTCAATACCGCGAGAGGAACGGGAAGTTCATATTAGAGGGTTCGGTGCGGATCTATTGGGACGTCTCTAATGTCATACAACTCAAGGAAGACAATGACGACCGGGTATTCATACGGCGCCGCAGTTACTACAACCCTAACCCCCGGCGCAAGACATCCACCAAGAGTTTGATGGTCTTCGACGACAACCAAAGCATTAGTTCCACATCCAGTCCCGACTCCAGTAGCCAACAGTCCAGCCAACAGACCAGTCCCACGACCAGCGATGGCACGTCCAGTCTGTCCAGTCCGTCGTCCACTACTGAGGGACGGACGGCCAGTCCTGACGACAATCAGCGTAAGTATCGGACGCTTCCCATCCGGGGCTCCGAAAGTGCCAAAGAATTGCGCGAAGAGTTGCGCCGTTCGTCCAAATCCTTCGACGACGAGTACGTCCAACAGATATCCGACTCGAAGGCTAAACAACAACAACAACAGCAAAGTCTTCTGCAAACGCCAAATGCAAACACCGGTGACCAGGAGGTGGTGCTCCGGAGGACTTGTAATCTGAGGCGTTCCCGCATTAAGTTGAAGCGCCGGTGCTCTATAAACGGCCACTTTTATAATAGAGAGGTTAGCTGTTTGTCTGTCCACATGGTTATTGAGTTTTGTATTAATTTTTTTGTTTATCCCTGTCCTCCCGTCCCCCGTTTATTCTAATCCAATAGACGAGTACATTCACTCCGGCTCACGGGTCGGTCACCAGTGTATTCATATCTAGTCTACTGAATGCACCGGAAGTTATAAACCTATTGCTGGATAAGTTCAAAGTAACGAATAAAGCCCAAGACTTTTCCCTCTTTGTTCTCAGAGATAACGGAGGTTTGCATCGGATTTATGGTGTTTTGACCATTAATTCTCTAATGAATGCAATTGTCTTACAGAATGCAAACGACTTCAAGACAATGAGTTCCCACT